GCAGAAACAGGAAAAACATCTGAACTGAGGAAGCACACAGTGCCAGGAGGAAAAAGCTGAGGAGTATGGAATACTGCAGTCCAGGGAGCCTATGCACTGCAGAGACAGAGAAAAAAAAAAGCCGAGACAGCTACCACAAAGCCCAAAGGAAGCAGAGACCACTGGGGAATCAGCTTTCTGCAGAAAAGCAGATCCATCGAACACAAAAAGTAAGTGACAGAGAAGTCTAATGAGTGACTATGAGTGAAGCTTGTACAAGCACCTCAATTTACATTTTCAGTTTAACTCTCAGTTAACATCATTCTCTTCTCTTATAGGAGGGAAAATGAGAATCAGCAGAGTGATTGCTAGAGACATCAACAGAAGAAGAGTCATATATCTCGCAGTGCACAGCACTGAGTACTAACTATCTGGTAAACTGAGAAAGCAGTGAATCATTGTATCTTCAAGGTAAAGCAATTTTAAGGATTAATCCAAGGCAGTTTCTCATGAAACTTCTTATGATGTTGCAAAACTGAATTGATCTCGTCATCTTTAGCTTTTCAGTTACCAAAATGAACCACATCCCATTGCAGGAGAGGCATGAAAGAAAGCAGCATAGCAATAGCATAAAGGGATGGCTACACATAACTATACTTCCTCGTAAGCCTTTGGAATTGATTTCCAGCCACTCTCCAGTCTGTGGGAGTTTGGCCAGGACTTTAATAAGGCCAAAATCTGTAATGGGACTTTCTGCTCACACAACAGTCTTTCACCAAGGCCTTCAGAGAGCTCCCAGTACTAGTCTCAAACAAAACAAAAAGCAAGCGGCAAATAGCAGTGGTCTGACAAGGAGACCAAAGTTTTTCCCTCCACAATAAAGTTCTCTCTGGCACTGGAATAAAAGCAAAGAAAACAAGTCTTTTTCTATCTGTGGACCCTTCTATAAAGAATCGAACTGAAGAAGATGTAGCTCTAAGGACTTAAAAGTCATACTGTTTGAGAAAATTACAGCAACGGAAGTTGGGCTGCATCACTAAGTTATGGCAAGAGAGTTGTGAGCAGGAAACTGTAGAGTAACCCTATAGATTCATTACCCTTTTGTCACTGTAATGAGCACTTGCATTTTCTGTTACCTTTTCTCTCATTTGAATGAAGTTCCTTCCTCTTTTGGCCCAATTCAGAGATTCTGCCTAGCTTTATTCAAATAGTTTTGTCGTGAATCTTGAGCTCATCACAGATTTTCCTTGCCATCTGACCTTATGTCATAGAGTCACACAGAAAAGACAAAGTGTGTCATCACAGGACTGTGCGGGATAGCAACATGTTTCTGGCCTTCCCGCAGCCACTGACATGCAAGACATTAGTAGTGAGCTGACATCAGGAGAGCCAAACAGACGATCATTTTTTTCTACTCCCCACGAAGCCTGATGCAAAACTCACTGGAACTGCTGAAAATATGAAGGGCTTTGGCTTGGGCCCAAATAAACCAGCCAGGAATAATGCTGAAAAGATATCTGGATCTGAGATGGTACAAAGGAACTAATCCTAGTCACCTTCCCCTAGCATCAGGCTCAATTTTATTTGAATTGGCTAGATTCTGCTGTGAATTAAGCTCAAAGCCCCAAAGGCAACTCGACTCCAGTCATCTAGCCTCGCAGCCTCCTCCAAAGTCTATCCAGAGGGAAAACTGACTAGTCTTATTCAGTTGCTGCTTAGAGCTAGCGCCATAGATTAAAAAAGCTTGGGGCACACAAAAAGTGAATAATCTGGATCATTTTTTCTCTGCAAGTCCTTCGTACAACTTGGCCATAATAATAAGAGTATTAATAATTTTAAAAAGTTAGGAGACAGAAAGAGGAAGCACAAGTAAGAAGGAAATCTCACCTGATGAAGTGTGTACACTTCACAGGAAAGAAATAGAAGCAGATCATGGGATTTATCAAAATTCTCAAGATGGGGAGACATTGGATTAGAGGAGCTAGTTCACCTATTTGCTAGAAAATACAAAAGGAACTTTTTCTAGACTCTTGCAGTGCTTCAGTGTCTGTGCAGGGCTGGTAGGATAATCATGAGTGAGAAAGCTGCAATAACATCTCAGGGCACAGAAACTGGATCCTTGGGTCTAGCTGGATCCTTGGGTCTCTTTCTCTCTCTGGCGAGGGGTATGGTGTGACTAGCACAGGAGAGCAGCACATTGCCTGGTCCTGGCCATGAGCTAGAAGATGAGCCATAACATACAGTGGGAGCTGTCACTGAAACAGTTGAAGAGAAGACGTTAGTAAATACTTTCAGAGAGTGCCTTTTTGGGTAAGCTTCAAAGTAAGTAACAACTGGTGCTGGTTATCATAATACTTTGAACAGACTTACTAAAAATCATATGTTGTGGAAAAGGTCAGTCTGCAACAAACTTGATAGCATAAGAAAAGTATGTGTGTGCAAATTTGTAAAAATCTTTGTTTTCCCTGCACACTGTTACAGAAATGAAGGGCTTTCATTATTAATATCAGTTGTCTTACTTGACTTTCAGGCAGGTTTCCTGTGATGACAGGAAAGGGCTAGAGGTTTGTTTTCAGTGAAAGTGAAGGTCTTCTGTTTTTAAAACTTGTTCTATAAGAAGTGGCATTTGTGAAGCCAAGTGATTTGTGTCCTCTCATCTCCCATGCCCATTGCTTGTATCACCAGTCTCATCCTCCAAAGTTCCATGCACGAGTTAGGAGGACAGTGACAGACTGCTAACTGCTGTGAAGCAGAGAGTTAAATTCGGTCCCCCTTTCATCAACAAGGGACACAGAGTGATCCAGATCACCCAATTTTATTTAAATGCCAGTTTTCATGACATATTATTTCACAACAGAATCATAGAATCATTTGAGTTGGAAGGGACCCCCAAAGGTCATCTAGTCCAACTGCTCTGCAGTGAACAGGGATACATACAGCTACATCAGGGTGCACAGTGCCCCATCCAGCCTGACCATTTCCTGTGAGGCCTTTGTCAATCGTGAATGTATCAAAGCTCTACATTTTCTAAAGGACTTCACAAGTGCCATTCGCATAGGTGAAACTAGGTAGGCTGGCTCTGCTTGCCAGCTGTTTGTGGAGGACAATTCACCATGTCCTAATACGCAATGCCAGAGATAGGAAAGACTGGCGGCTGGGAAACAAACAAAACAGCAAGTGTGAAATTGCAGTAGAATTCCTTCTTCTATTAGCATGACTCTTACAATGTCATTGGCGTGCCTATCTAATATCCTTCACTGTTCAACCACACGGGAGACCGGGCAGCAAGTTTGTTGGGGAGACCGGGGATTAACCCAGGAGGTGAAACAAGGTTCACTTCGAGGTCCATCTGCCCCCTGTTTCATCTGCATGGGCTACGCCCGGGAGAGCAGTGCCCCAGCTCCTCCAGCCCACCATCACGCGTAGCCTCTGCGAGACAGCCGGGCAGAGGCCGGGCCGCACAGCAGGCAGCACGCAGGCCCCAAGCGGGCAGGCCGGAGGGAGCCTTGTTGGGCTCTCAGCCCGCCGCACCCCTCAGTGGCGAACCGCGCACCGCCCGCTGGGGCCATCTTGGCGTGCGGGGCCGGGCGCAGCGCTACCCCCCCCGGCCCCGGGCGACCCGGCCGCCCCCCGCCTCACCCCGCACCTGGCAGCCGCGAAGCAGCGCTGCATGCCCCGAGCTGTCCCGGGGCCGGGAGTCCTTTCGCCCCCCCGTTTTGTCGTGCAGCCCCCTCGCCCTGCCGAATCGCGGTGACCCCGCTCTGCGCCCGCAGACCGCCGGTCCTCCAGCAGGAGCAACGATGAAAACACAAAGTCCTATTAATTATGATGATGCACGGTGGCGACAGCCATTGTATTTTCGGCCGTCAAGTAATTCGAGACGGGATCCCTCGGTGCGCGGTGGAAAGTGGCGGCGCTGAGCCAAACTGACCCCGGCTGCAGCCCACGGGCGGCCGCTTGGCGTGGCTCCGGGCCGGCGTGGGCTGCTGGCTGGGGGTGCCGGCTGCCACAGCCACGGTGCTTCGCTTCCCGGGGCGGGAAGGGAGCGAGGGATCGGCCGCCAGTATTTCGGGGAGAAGAGTAAGGAGCCCGGAAAGCACAATGCAACAGCACCCCAGCCGGCTGACTGCTGCTCCCGCCGGGGACTCGGGGAAAAATAAATATCCCCGATAGTTTTACCTTTGGAAAATGGAAGGGGATTTTTCTCACTGAGGCTGCAAAGCCCCGAGCCCAGGATTTCGTTCCCTCTCCTAGCAAGCGCTGATGACATCACGAAGTGCCCCTTCTTTGTGTGTCAGTGATGTCACCGAGTGCAGCGTGGGGGACAATGGAATCCTGAACTCCGGGTGAAGGCGAGCGCTGCTGCGGGCTCGGGGCTGACCTGGGGGGCAGGGGACATCCAGCTGTTGCGGTGGGGCCGGAACAGGTGAGAGCTGACGGGGCTCCTTCGGGGCTCGATGTGTGGGGGTTTGGGCTGGGCTCTTTTTTTTTTTTTTTTTTTTTTTCTTATTGCATTCCAACTGAGACAGGTGAGAAGTTGCTGCTGGTGCTGGAGGGACAAAGCAGGTGAGAAGTGAGAATAGAGGGAAAGCAAAAAGCACCCCCCTTCCCCCCCTCGGACCCAACAGCACCGGCTCAGCTCAGCCTTAAGGCAGCTTGCCCCTCTCTCAGCCACCTGCTTCCACCTCGTCCCTTTGGGGCTTTGGCACTGAAGCGCAGACGGCAGCCGGGGTTACCCTCACAGCCGGCACCTCTGCAGCGCACTTTCCCGAGGATCCCCATTACGAACTCCCGTCCCCTCCGATCGCCCCTTTCTTCCTTCCCCAGCACCCGCCGAAGGGGAGGGGGGAGGCTGCGGCTGCCGGGATCCCCCCCAGCCCCGGAGCGGGGCTCCCCGAGCTCCCCCCGATCCCCGCTCGCCGTGAGGCCGCGCCGGGTGTCGCCCCGGCCCCGCCGCCCCCCAGCCCCGCTCGGCGGTGGGGGAGGCAGCTAGGGAAGCCATTGCCTGTTTAATAGTTGCTGTTGCAGCACTTCCGCTTCTCTCCCAGCGAGAGAGACACGAGTGGCCAGGCCCAGCCGCACCGAGGAGGAGCAGCCAGACACAAAGGGAGAGGTACGGGGACGGGGCAACCCTCGCCGTCCTCCCCGCCGCTCCCGGGGGCAGGGGCGAGGGGCAGGGCCGGCCGCGGCCCGACGATGGGGCGGGAGGCGGCGGGGCAGGGGGATCGCGCCCGGGGCTGTCAGGTACCGCTGTCCCCCCTGCCCCTCGCTGCCCGGCCTGCGGGCCCTTCGCCGGGGGAGTGCGCCCGGCTCCCCCGGCCCCCGGCTCTCCCCGGGCAGCGGAGGGGGCGTCCGGCGGGGGGCTGCCCCGGGGCCGCGGCCTCGGGAGGAAGGCGGCCCGGTGCCGGCCCCCCCCGGCCCCCCCCCCCTGCCCCGGGGCCCCCCCCACCCCCCCCCCCGCCTCCCCCCCCCGGCGTCCGCCGGCTCTGCCGGGTGCCCCCTCTCTCCCGACGGCTCCCGGTTCCCTTCGGGGCCAGCCCTGCCCCGCGGCGCCCCCCGCTCTGCCTCCTGCCCCGGGCTGCCCGCATGGAAGAGCTGACCCCCTTCCCCCCCCCCGCTGCTCCCCGGGCCCTCACCCCGCTAGGCCTTGGCCCTGCTTTTCCTCTCCCCCTCCCCCCCCTCAGCACAGCCCCGCTTGCCGGTGTGCCTTGCAGTGCAGCGGGCCTCAGTGGGCCCCCCCATGTGCTCCTGTCCCCTAGCCCCCCTGTTTCTCTCGTCCCTTTATGCCCCACAGTGCTCCCAACACCCGATCTAGCAGGCATGGGTTTTGATACAGAGGGCACAGGTTTTGCTCAGGGATCCTCCGTTGGGATCTCACCCCGATGCCCCACTTCCATCCCAGTGCTGGCAGTAGTCACCCTCAGCCCATCCCTTCCCAGTTCCCTCCCACCGCAGAGGCCCAAGCTGCTCCATTTTTGTCCCTTGCACCCTAGACTGGCTGTTGGTAGGTTCTGATGGCTTCTCTTGCATGGGAGATTAGAAGGAATTGCTGTGAGCTTCCCTGAGCCTTGTGGTTGTCCTTGTTCCAGTCCCTTCTTTCGCTGCTTCCTGAGAAGAAGCTTTGAAAGTCCCTTTCTCCTTCAGCGTTAATGGTGCAGGAGCAGCTGCTGCTCCTCCTGCCTGACTGTAGCGCCTGAGGAGGAGAGGGAGACACGAGGACCCTTTAAAGGGAGTATAGCCTAAACACAGAGTGAGATTATCAGCTGCCTTTCTCTGTGTGTGTATTCACCGTTTGTTCCCCACGCCCCGTGGTGTCTCCTCTCCAGGTTGGGGTTGTGGTGGGGGGGTCGCTATGTCGGATGACGATTCGAGGGCCAGCACCAGCTCCTCCTCATCTTCATCCTCCAACCAACAGACAGAGAAAGAGGCAAGCACCCCTAAGAAGAAGGAAAGCAAAGTCAGCATGAGTAAAAACTCTAAGCTGCTGTCTACCAGTGCCAAGAGGTGAGGCTGCAGTCAGTTTTCTCACTGATTTGCTGCATCTTCTCTCCTTCCTCATTTGATTTTGCTGTTCCTCTGCTGATCTCTTGTTGCTCCCATTCCTCATCTCTATCACTTATTTTAGTCTTATATTAGTCTTTCCACACTGAGCTGCCATTGTCTCACTTTTTCAGCCTCACTGTGTAGTGAATGTGCCCAGATTTCCTGTGCTCTGGGCTCTTATCCTGCTTCTGCCTCAATTCCATCCCAAGTGTTTTCCCGTCTCTTCTTCCACCTGGCTGTCATGCTGCTCCCCAATTATCTCCAGTCTCTTTCCTTTTCCTTGTTTGTGTCAGCAGTAGGGACGTAGGATTGGTATGTAGGACCTTCATTCCTTCTCTGCTTCTGGCAGCTCTGTGGTCCTGGGTAAAGCATTTAATTTCAACATCAGTCTTCCTCTCTGTAGATTGGGATGAATATATAATGGATTTTTTTTTTTTTTTTTCTGCTCTGAGGATTAATTAATGCTTGTGAAGAATTTTGAGTTTGCTTGATGAAAGGGAGATTTGGGGCTTTATTAAACCACCTGCACTGGAAGGGTGCATATAATCAGTGGAAGTGGTGTAATGTAGCTCTAAATCTCCCCCCCTGAATGTATTGCTGCTTTTCTGACTGTTCATCGCTTATATTGAATTTTTGGTATATGACTCGATGTGAAGTAAAATAAATAATCCACTTGCACATCCACTTGTGCACATTCTGCTCTAAAATAGGTTTTGCTTATGGCACATAGTGTTTTAGGGGCAGTTTTTGAGGATGAAATCGTTTTTGTTCCAAAGTAATGTCTGTATGTGAGAGAAATGCTATGACAGTCAGCTTTTTTCATCAGCACACACTCTTGGAGCCATTCAGGTTTTTTTGTTGTTCTTTTTTTTTTTTTTTTTTTTTTAAAGAAAAGAGCTGTTATTCTTTCTTATTTATTCTGTTTCACCCAAGTCCAGCATCATCCTGCTCCAGAGAGTTAAGCTGACAAATGGAAGTTTTCAAGCTAACTGAGAGTGCTCCAGTAAGAATAATAAACTATCTCAATGCAGAGCTTTGCCAAGCAGCACAGAGAGGTTATGTCTTCAGGTGTGAAAAGTGGCTGGGGTTTTATGCAAATGTCCTGTCATCACAGCTAAGTTCGCTGTGGCTTTGTGGGGTTAAGGCAGTTTGGTTTTTCCAGATCTCCACTCAGCACGTTTCCATGGCAAGCTCGTAGATAGCAGTAAGTGGTGTTTACATGTCGTGCCCTAAACTATTTTAAAAAGAGGATAGTTTTACAAGCCTGCTGATTGTAAGTATGAAAAGGTTGTGGTTCTCATGCATGACAAGTGGAAGAGAGGCAGGAGACGCTGGCATAGTTTAAAGGAGGAGAGAGGGTGGAGAGATCCGGAGGGGAAGCTTGAGTGACAGTAATGGGACTCCAGGGAAGGGGATGATAGCTGGTTGGGTATTTTGTGGCAAAAGCAGTGTGGTGCTGAGCCCAGAATAGTCCGGGTAGGGAGCACTGGGTGTTGTCTGAGCGTGGTGAAGGGAGGGAGCGTCTGGCATTCTGGGGGGAGGGATGTGGGGATGTGGTATGGTTCTTAGAGGAGGGAAAAGCTGCAGGAGTGTGCTGGAGCCTCGGAAATAGATACTCCCTTTTCTTTAAGTGTCCTCAGGAATTTTGCAGTTGCTCACTCCCTTGGGACTGGTGTTTCTTTCTCAGGGTGATGATGAGCAGCAGAGTGGATCCAATTTGGTGATGACTGCTGCTTTCAGTCCAGCAAGACAAATTTTCTTTTTGACTGTGGTTTCCTCCTAGCCCTTGGTGCATCGCATTCGCAGAGGGATCCCCCTCACTTACAGACTGGCTGGCAGAGTAAAGAGGACAATCTTTTCCACTGCCCTTGTGGTTGGAATTGTTGTGGGAGTGCAGAGTGATGCACCTCTCTGGGCTCAGTTTGCAGTGCCTGTCTGCTTTTCTGCCTCTGTAATAGGGTGTCTGTGCTGCTTAGTGTGCTCAGATGGGTGGGAGGCTATAACTGAATGTTCCCCTGCTTTATGTAGTGTTGCAAACTCGCGGTGACATTATATGTCTGTAAGGCGTAAGTGTTAACTGCTGTCCTACACAGTGACTTACCTTTGTTCCTTTTTTGCTTTTATTGCCACAGGATTCAGAAGGAATTGGCTGACATCACCTTAGATCCACCTCCCAACTGCAGGTTGGTGTTGATTTCTTCTCTGGGGAAGGCAGGGGAAGAAGAGGAGCTGAACCATGCTTGCGTTTCTTGTAGCTGTCCTCAAAGGTCCTGAGGAGGGCAGGGGAAGGGCTGCTCAGCTGAATGGCTGACAGTACTTTTTGCATGCTTGGATGACTTTAAATAGTTTCCAGGTGGGGGGGCCTCCAGAGATTATTATATGTGTGCTGATATGTTTACTGTTTGTTTTGGGGATTGTTTTGTTGATGTTTTCTAACAATTGCATTTGTATCTGTCATGCTGCTTTGTGTCTATTTCTGAAACTAGCCTATAAAGAAGAGTATGAAACTCTCCTTGTTTGGTGTTTTTTTTTTTTTCTGGTTTATAAATCTATTGCCTGGCTGCTCTAATCTTACATAAATAAGAGTCCTGACAGAGAAGTAGGAAATAGCAAAATGCTCTGAGCTTTTTAGTTCAGAGTTCTTTTCTAAAGAGTGTCTTACAGTGGAAGTGTGAATTCATCACTCAGTGGGTGCCCTACCGAAGCACGCGCATTAGCCTATGAAATAACAAGCAGGGCTGTTTGGTTGCCCTTTGTGGAACAGCTTGTTTTTAAGTAAGTTTTAGGAACTTGTACCTTTTGTTTAAAGCATCTAGCAAGTTGATTCAGTTCACTGGTTGGTGGCCCGAGCCTCTTTGCTTTTGGGGAGGAGGCAGTAGTAGTGTAACATCTTTGGTTATGCTTGTTCATTCAAGAGGAAAGTTGCTTTCAGTCTGGTTTGTTGCCAAAGCACAACTCTCTTCCTATTTTCTTGCTGTGCCTGAAGTAGGTTTGAGGCCTTTTAATGTTGATGATAGCAGCAGTTAGGGAAAATTCTGTTTATAAATAACTGTTTAATTTGGTCTCTTTGGTACTGAGGTGTCAGCCATAAATGCACGTGGATAGTTTTATTGAAGCATTTTGCTATTGTTGGTCTGCAGGGCAGCACTGATGCACAGGTTAGCCTAATGGTCCAGAGCCACTCTTTCAGTATCAGTCCCAAGGCACGTAATTAGTGACATAAGGAATAAGTTGAGGCATATGAGTACAGTAGAAGTCAAGATTGATACTAAGATTTTCATACTGCTTGGAAGATAACTGATGTTATAGCTAGAGAGTTCAGAGGTCAATATTGTTTTGTTGACATTAATGACTACCTGTGTATTACCAGAGCTCCAGCTGCTGGTTTGGAAGTGTCTGTCCTGTCTGCATCCTGACTCAATGTCAAGATGAAGTCCACATGCTTCCTCCTCCTCCTCCTCTCACCATATCCTGATTTTTTTTTTTTTTTTTTTTTTTTTTTTTATGGGGGAAAAAAAAAACCCAGAAGCATGTCTCAGAAAGGTATCGAGCCTAGCTTGTTCTGTATATAACAGTCTGGGTGATTGAGGTGCCAGGACTGCAGTCTGAATCTATCCCAAAGTTGTGATAATGTACAAGTGTGTCAGATTGCAGGCTTCACCTGAAGGTTTGTGTAAATAATGTTAGATCCTTAATTTGTTCCTGTTTGAATTGGCATCATTTGCAGGTAAAGCAGAGCTAGCAGACTATCTGTCAAAATAGAATATGGCTGTGAATTTTTTAATTACATAGACAACTGTGGATAATGCACTTAAGGCCTGCGTAGTAAGTTTGTGTTGTTTCACCCTTTATAAATATTTCTAATAGCAATAATTAGTTCATAGTGCAGTTAGCGATGATTAATTCTCACCTGTAATGTAAGTATTCTGCATTCTTTCCAACCTGCAAATGAGTGACAGTGAGAGCTGGCAACTCTTGCAAACAGTATGTGAAACTGGTGTAATTGCTGCTATGTCTCTTTGTGTGTTGGTAAGTAGGAAAACATGAATGGAGAGGTTTTGGCTTGTGTGTGACCAAAGAAGTTTTGGTATTGCTCAACATGGGGTGGAAGCCATCCTACTTCAATAAAGAGAGTGCCAAGAGTGAAGCACTGCTCTGCTTATGGCTAACAAGGTTCAGATTGCACGCTCAAGCACAGGGAGTTTGCTTTTGTAGCAGCTGTTTGGTAAAAGGGTAGGCAGGTACTGATTGCCACAACACTGGGGCGAGTTTCAGCTATCACAGCCATGGAGAAAACTCGGCTTTGTGGGAAAAAAAATAGTTGGTGAGGGTGAGGATATGAAGCAAGTGAGAGAACTGTGTTGCTGCATGATGTTTAAAGCTGCCAGAACTTCCTCTGGGGAAGCCTGCTAGCATTGTCACTGCTTTCCTTTATTTTTCTTTTTTTCCTATGAGTGTTACTGGCATGCTGTGAGGAAGGTATTAAATACAGGTTTTGGAACTTAGTTTCAATTTCCATTTTCACTGCTTTGCCCATCCTTGATTTCCCTTTGCCCTCAAGCCTCTCACCCCTCTGCAGCCTTTGCCTCTGCACGTATTTTCAGGTCTCACTTTAGGGGTGCCAGAGTCTCAGAAGTCACATTTTAAAAAATGGATCTGAAACTGCATCCTATATTATTTTGGAAATATTTGGAATTTTTCCCCGTTTTGCATAGTGCCCTGTGTTTGATGGCAGTTTGTGGTAGGCAGTGCTTTAATTTTTGGCCTCACTGCAAAGTGTTGTTCTTCTTGCAGTCTTATTGCAGTAATGGGAGTTCAGGTTATTTAATGCGTCCCACAGCAACTCTGCAAACTGAAGGGAAAAGCTTTAGGTTGTAAACGATTCTTAGTAAGAATTGTTTTGTTTTTTTTCTTATAAAACACATATAAGTTGCTATTACAAATAATGAAAACCATTTGATATTTCAAACAAAATGTCTTACATTCAGATAAGTTTCATTTTTAGTTTTGTAGCTTGCAGTGACCAAATTTTCATGTATGTGACCCACAAATCAACTGCTTAAAAAAAAATAAATAAAAAATGCCAATACACTCAACACCCTCTGATTGAGCAGATGTGTGGGTTTCATACATATGTCGGTAATATGAGGGGAAGTTTATCCCAAAACTTCCTCTCCCCTCAGTAGTTTCACTGCTTCTGGTTTGCCATAGCTTGCCTCTGTCCCCCAAAGGCTTACCTGGTGCTGGTCCATCTTTTGGCTGCTTCATAATCTCTGGTAACCTGTTTGTGCCTCTTGTCCCGCTCCCCATGGTGTGATTTTGGTTTTATGCAGCCTGCTACTGTTCCTTTTATAGAGGGAATGCAGTATATGCTTGGCTTGCTTTAACAAATGGATTTCAAATTGGACAATATTTTCTTAAAAGACTTACTCTTTACAGTTTTGTGAATTCTGGTGGTGGCAGTGCCGTTTTCATCAGTGTCCTGCTGCAGTGTGTCTGTGTGTCTGTGTGTCTGTGTAGCATTTGGCTGAGTACTTCTTGCTTCTTTTTTATTATGTTTTTAGTAGGCCAGCATCATAGAGATCCTTAATTTTCTGCTGTCCGCAAAATGATTTGACTTGTGACACTAGTGTTAAGTTAGAACAGTTAAATGTGGCTATCGAGTACAGAAGTGGTTGGTGGTTTAGATGGATTGGAGAATAACTGTCTGGTCCTAAGGTGCTTTAAATCTTTTGAGCTGGTACCTGGTGATTCCGTCTCCTATTTTGTATGATATCAGAAAGTTGCAGCTGTTGGTTTAGAACAATAGGTATTGTTGTTCAGGTATTTGGAGGCACTGGACTTCTGGCCTGATGTATACTTTGGGGATAGCAGTATGGCATATCTTTGCATTGGGTCATGGGAGGCTGCGCTGACAACTGCCTGCAGATGTCAGAATGCATTTCCATCTCGCTGTGGAGGCAGACCTTCTTTGTGTGTAGGTACACACAAAGCGCCTGCACCAAAGCTTTGGTTCTATCGCTGTGGTGAGGTTTCTAAAGCTTTAACAGAAGTTAATTAAAGTTTAAATACTGCTTATGCTCTTCATAAAAGTCATCTCTTTGACCTCCATATTTAAGTGTCTCCTGAAAGTAAATCTGCTAATGGCTGCAAGGTTATGAAACAAATGATTTTCCCCCATTTTACAGACAGGGAGATGCAGCTCACAAAAACTAAGTGACTCGTCGAAGGTCATGCAGGAAGTCTGTGGCAAAGTGGAGAAATGAATGTAAATCTCCTTTGTTTCAGGCTAACTTGCAGCTGAACTGCGTGTGTTGGTTGTGCTGCGAGCAGGGCTTTGAATTTGTGCTTTATTGGGTGTCTGGTATTGACTGTATGTAAGCATGGTAATTTAATGGTATTTTTCCATCTGTGTAGAGGGACCAAAATGGATATTAACTAGAATTAATGCTTTTTAATCTTTCTTACCCAAACTGAAACAAGTTTGTCTCCACATGGCTCATTTAAGTCCATATAGGCAAGACCAGCTGTTACTTAAACAAAAATAATTTTCAAGTCTTTGCTGAAGGAGACATTTGCCTGGAAGGCTTACCGTCGCTTCAGAGTGAAATGCCATCGCAGATTCATTATTTAAAGAATAATAAAATACAGTTGTGTTTCCTGGCTCCTTCAGCCCCATTTCTGTAAATTCACAGAATAAGGACCAGATCTCCCTAAGAGTCTTGTGAAAGTTAACTGTCAGCACTTAATAAATATATGTCTCAGTATAGATGGTAGGAGCAGCGCTCTGTGCTATAATAGGTGGAATATTCATAGTTTTCAAGACTTAGTGGCGTGGAATTAAGGTTGCTTGGCCGGAGAGAAGTCTGCAGAAAATGTGTGGCATAAAGGCTGCTTTGAACTCAATGATATCCTCTTCCAATTAATGTATTTCATCTACACACTATGGAAGTCTAGCATTTGTTTGGGTTGCATTTGTTTCTACAGCGCTCTGAGGATGGATTGTCACTGTTAAGCTGTAGCATTGTTTGTTTTCTAAATTATTTTCACGCTTGGAATAAACCTTCCTGCACGTGGACCTATTCTAGCTAGAACTTTGTGGTCTTATTTTTGCAATTAAAAGTATTAATTAGAGTAAGACAGGTTAGTTTTGTTTTTAATATGCACACACATTCTTAGAGCA